GGTATAAGCGCCTGCCTGGCAAGTGGAAGGTCCTGCGTTCAATCCCTGGTACCAAAAACAAAACCAAAACAAGAAGTCACATCAGGGGACAGTGGCCAGGGACAGTCATCGAGGGCTAGTGAGCCACGGCCCCCCAAGTCAGGGTCCTACCAGCACTGTGAAAATGTTGGCAGTTTGTTCCTTTCGACCTATGCACCTTCATTTTGATTTTGAAATGTTGCAGGAAAAGTCGCCCTGATTTCCTGTCGAGAATTCTGCACGCTGGACATGTGACTCCCCCGCCCCACCCAGCTGGCCCAGGCCCTCCATGCCGCTCACAGGAGGTCCTTCATGGTGGTGCCCACTTGGTTGGCACCTGTGTGCCACAGTGTTGGGTGCCTGTGTGTCCAGGCAGCAGGAAAAGCATGACCTTACAAATGTCAGCTGCCAACGTGTGGCCCATAGGCATGACATCCAGTGACCTGTGACCTCTGAGCCACCAGGACTGGCTACTGCAGACCAAGGGCTGCCCATTGATTGAGAAAAGCTGTTTCTGTAGAAGCTTCTACTTCTACTTCAGTGGCCTGAAAATGTCAAAGGGACAGAAAGGGCCGAAATTCCCATCAACTCTCTTGCGCATGTAGGAGGCGGGGAGCTTCTCCATCTGACACCCGGCCTGGCCACTGCAAGCCGGAGCTGCAGAAAGCAGGTGCTGGGCCACCTGCGGCGCGGGGGCCTGCCTGATCCAAGCCCTTCCCTGTGCTGGGTTATGGGGAGGGGAGAGTCTGGGATGGAGAAATGGGCAGGAAGGGGAAGCACTGCCCCCATCCAGAATCCCCAGCCAGGCAGAAGAGGGTTCCGATGGCCACACCCCCATGAAGGGACAAGGTCACCTCTGGGTGGGCTCACCTGCTGTCCCCCACACTTGGTAAGGACAAAGAATAGTGTCCCAGGGTGACCCAAGCCCCCACCTCAGCATTGAGAATTCCCAGACTGCTTTGCAGCCGTTTGAGAGAGAAAGGTCAGAGGTGATGGAAGGGTGTGCAAAGAAAGGGCTTTTCACTGACAGCCTTTAGCTGCTGGGGTTTGTGTTTTGTTTTGTTTTGCTTTGTTTTGTTTTGTTTTGTTTTGTTTGGCGGAACCAGGGATTGAACTCAGACCCTTGCACTTGCCAGGGAAGCGCTTGTTCTACTGAGCCATCTCTCCCTAGCTGCTATTTTAGGTAACATTAAAGTGTTGCTTCTGAGAGTGGGGTGGGCCTCTGTGGACAAGTGCGGAAATCCCTGCCCACAAGACCCCTGCCTTGAACCTGGAGGAAGGTCTTGATGTGCCAAGTAGAAGCCCAGTGCTTCCACTTTAGGATGAAGAGGGTGCCCTGCAGATCAGAGAGGTTAAGTGCATTGGCCGAGGTCACACAGCCCTGGGAGTAGGAGAGACGTGGGCCATCTGGGACCAGCCGCGAGGGTGGGACTGGGGTTTCGGCCCTGTCACAGGCCTTGCTGTGACCTGCAGATCTGCATCTGGAGAGGCTCCAGCGCCCCCAGGCCTCGGCTGAATTCAGAGCTCAGGTCAGCTGGTGACAGTCCTCAGATCCTTTCTGATCCGGCCACTGACCAGAGGCTGCAGGGTCCTGCAGTCCTGCCTCCCAGTGAGCTCTGCAGAGGCCTAGGCTGGCCTGGCCACCCTGCGGCGCACAGGCCATGTTGGGGGTGGCTGCCAATGCTGTGCCTTCAGGCCCATCTCAGGAAGAGGGGACCCATGTGGGGAGCGAGGAGAGGGTGGCCCTGGGCGTGGGTCCGGGGCCTTAGCGCACACCGAGGGCCATCGCGTGGGGCAGCCTCTTCCTGGGCCAGGGCCAGGGCTCTCTCTGTCTGACTCTCCGAGCACAGATGGGACCCTGTAGGCAGAATGGGCACACTGCGGCTGCCCAAAGCTCCTAGTCCCAGGAAAGGGGCCTCACTCCCCGCTGCAGCTGGCCAGCGCTGCCCGGTCCAGGGAAGGGCGGATGACAATCTAAGGGCTCAGTGGAAAGCAAACAGGCACAGCCGGGTGCGTGTTCAGGCTGAGCCCTGGGCTGGCTGTGGGGACGTCCCCAGCCCAGGGGTTCTGTCCCCAGCCATGCAAAGGGAATGAGGGAATTGATGCACTTGAAGGCATGTGTGCACGCACATATACAGCAAGCACACACAAACATACACATGCACACGCACGAGCACAGACACTATGCATGCACATGCACACATGCACACACAATCTGCACACAGACACAAATGTAAACACATGCACGCACCACAAACATGCATGCATAAACACATACACACAGCATGCGTGCACATACACACATATACATGCACATGGATAGGCACACAAACTACACATGTACACACACATACCTGTGATAGATGCATACCAAGATATACACTTGATCTCATGTGTGTGCATGCACACAATATTCATGCCCGCGTGCATACATGCACAAGCACAATATATGCAAGAGCACGCAGACACACATACAGTATAAACACAAACACACGCCTATGTTATGAACACATACATATACACATGTGCATGCACAAGACCCACCTCAGTGCGCCCTCACTGAGAGGGGAGACAGGAACCATGCAGCACATGGCTGCCTTTTCTGGGTGCTCTGCCTGGGGACTGTCATGTGAGGGGACCCAGAACACCTGCACCCATCAGACATGGTGAGGTGTGGGGAGCCGCAGCCCCAGGAGGAGGGGAGGCAGAGTAGGTGGAGTGGGGGGTGGGAGGGGGCGGGCACTGCCCATCCATCCCGGGTGTGCTCAGGTGCCATGTGATCGTGGGTAAGGACACAACTCTCTGGGGCTGAACCTCCTCATAGGCCTAGCCCTGCCGTGGGGTGGGACTTCCCACAGGGCTGCGCCGTGCCTGGGGTGAGCCGCAGGTGTCCCCTCCTGATCCACACCCTGACAGTGAATCACCTCTGTGTTTTCAGCTGCTCCTTGCTGGCCAAGGATGCCCTGGACCCCGGCCCTCAGCGTCCACTTGGAGACCAGCCCTGGCTACCTGGCAGGCTTAGCAGGACAGCAAATGAGCAGAGGGAGCTGAAAGTGCCTGTGAAGGGGTGTGCCCTGGGGGTGCTCCCTGGGGGTGCCCATCTGGAGCCGCCCCAGGGACTCAGCGGCTTGGCTGGGCGCCCAGCTCCACCCTCCCTCCAGGCCTTCTCCCTGGCTGTGAACTTGGGCCTCACACCTTGGGCTCTGGGGAGCTCGCAGCTGAAAAGGCCATTTCTGCCGCTCCTCCCAGTGCTGGCAAACAAAACCCTATTTATGTCCATGGTGCCCCTAATTACAGCAGATGGGACGAAAGGCAGTGACAGAGTGCAGTTAAAAACAGGTCCGTGCCATTAGGGGAAAGCTGCCGTGGGCTAGGCCAGCTACCAGTAGCTGTGTGTTCTCAGGGGCAGGTGCCCGCAGTTTTGTTTTGAAAAGCTAAAAAATAGGGAAGCTGAGGCAGGAAAATTGCAAATTTGAGCCTAGCCTGGGCAATTTAACAACTTAGTGAGACTCTGCCTCAAAAGTAAAGAATAAAAACCCTGATGATGGGAGGGCAGCCGCACTGACACCCGCCCTCCTGCATGTGCACACAGCACTTTGTAGGTCTGTCTGTTTTGCTATTTTAAAGTTAGTGGCAGACATCAGGACCCAAGGCTCCAAATCCTTCCATGTTGCCCCCCAAGAGCTGCAGAGGTAGGTGCTACCGAGCCCTCTGAGTGGCTCCATGCAGACAGAAGTTCTGA